GTTTAATCAAAGAAGCAATGAACGGGCAGGAGGTGAAACAAGAACTGCACGAAGCTAAACAAACAGTTGAGAACTGGTTCAGAGATAGGGAACAGGGACACATCTTTTTGGCACGTGCACTATGGGTGGGGCAAAGGGAGACATGGGGAAAATATTTTGAGAAGCAGGTACAGAAAGAGAAAGGGGAAGTGGGGAAGCTGAAGACTGGGGAAGGGTTATGGCTTGAAAAGGAGGGTGTATTGGAGGAAATTGGGGGAGATTACTCATTTTTATGAGGATTTATATAAAGCACAACCGGTGAATAGGGCCGAACGGGACCATTTCATGGAAATGTTGCAGAAGAAAGTTAAAAGAGGAGGATAAGCCTCTCTTGCCAGCGGACATTACACTGGAAGAGGTACCAGCAGCACTGAGCCTGCTGCAATGAAATAAGACACCAGGGTTGGATGGGCTGTCAGTTGAATTTTATTTAAGTTTTTAGGACTTAGTAGGGAGGGATTTAGTGGAGGTATACAAAGAAGCACTGGGGAAGGGGGAAGCAGGAAAGGGTTTTGCAGTGGATGGGGTAGTTTTGTTACATAAAAAGGGGAAGGAGCTTTTGCAAAATTGGAGGCCCATAACTCTACTCAGTGTTGACTATAAACTCTTAGCAAAAGTGCTAGCGCAACACATGGGGCAGGTACTTGATCAGGTAGTGGGAGAGGACCAAACATGTGCCATTAGAGGAAGACGACTGACAGATAGTCAGTGGATCTTAATGCACTGCACTATGTGGGGGACAGAAAATGGAAAGTGATGGTGGGCAGTATATATTTAGAGAAAGCTTATGATAGTGTGTCACACGAGTTTTTGTTTAGGGTTTTGGAAAAGATGGGGTTCCTGGAACATTTTGAGTGGGTACAGGCATTGTATGGGAATGCAACGAGTCGGGTACTGGTTCATGGATTATTGGGAGATGAGTTTAAGGTGGACAAGGGGGTGCAGCAGGGGTGCCCTTTGTCCCTGGCACTTTGTCTGTGGAATCAAACTGGTGGCCCAACGCATCTGGAGGAACAGTGGGGTTAAGGGGGTGATGGTGCCGGGGTGGGGAGGAGAAATCAAAGTGGCTGTTTGGGAGCAGATAAATTGGAGAACCCTGCTTAGGCCAACTGGAGTAAGTTAAGTGAGTAGTCTGGTGTGGTCGGGGGTGGAGGGATGGAGAGAAAGGGACGATGGGACTGTGTAGTTTTGTGTGGAATAAGGAGAGGGATACATAATTTGTCTGTGAGTAAAAATGGTGTTTTTTAAAATTGTTTGTGATGTTTAGAAATGTTGATAATGGGTGTTGAAATTTAATTTTGATGTATGTATGGGAAAGTGTGATGTGTATTATATTTGTAATTTATATGGTTTTATAATTAAAAAAAAAAAAAGCCGTTTGACCCCTTGCCAGCAATAATGTCTCATTAAATGTGGCTTGTGATTATTCACAGTAGGTCAGATATGGCAGAGGCTGGGAATGGACAAGCACCTAGCTGGGTTTACCCCAGCACTCTTTCCTGCCCAGGGCAGGGGGTTGGACTCAATGGTGTAATAGGTCCCTTCCGACCCTAAAAATCTATGAAGTTTATGAAAGAGATGTCCCCAGACATTCAAGGTACCCCTGGCTCTCCCAGTCCCCAACCTTCAAAGGAGTGAAGGGCCCAGGAGGCCTGATAGGGCACTGAATCAAGAGCCTGTGCACATCAGAGGAGATGCCTCATACAGAGATGCACAGCATTCACTGCTTCCAGTACCTAGGTAAGGGTGTAAGTAGCTATTGCAGGCAGCCAAATGATGGCCCATAGCCTTCGGCTGTACAACTGCACACAGCTTCGTGACATCAGGTAACATCGATACGGAGCAGACAGTGCTGTGCAAAGATATCTAGACTGTTTCTTGACTCTGTGTAGCCATGTCAGCACTGGCCATACTCGGAAACAGAACTAACTGTATCCCAGGTAGAGTTCCACACTGCGGTAGCCATACTGGTGCTGGGACCAGAACGGGTGAGTATGTTTGCACCATGGTTTATCACATGCTTGAGAGAGACTGCAGCAATCAGAGAGGCTTTACCAGCACACAACTGGGTTTAGAGCATGCAAGCCAGAGCAGGTGGGCAGGACACACTTGGGAACATCCAGGCAAACACTGCAGGGTAGACAGTGAGGTAGACCCATATCATCCATGGGGTAGAGGCCTCCACATCGGTCTGGAGCTGGCACATACAGTTGGCACTGTATTTCTCTGTGTGCCATAGACATACCTGAAGAGGGTTGGCTGGTATAGTGGTTGTGAGTGGATGCAGTTGGGTGATGGCGGGTGCATTTATTTAATAGATTTCATAGACATTAGGTCTGGAAGGGACCTCAGAAGATCATCAGGTCCAGCTCTCTGCCCAGGGGCAGGAAGTTAGCTAGGGTCAAAGGATCCCAGCAAGATAAACATCCAAGCGTTTCTTGAACGAGTCCAGAGTAGGCGCTTGCACCACCTCTGGAGGGAGTCTATTCCAGGCCTTGGGGGCTCAGACAGTAAAGAAGTTTTTCCTTATGTCCAAACTAAAATGGTCTTGAAGGAGTTTGTGACCATGGGACCTTGTCATCCCTTGGGGTGCTCTGGTGAACAGGCATTCCCCCAGATCCTCATGCACACCCCTTATGTATTTATAGGGTGCCACCAGGTCACCCCTGAGCCTGTGCTTTTCCAGGCTGAAGAGTCCCATGGCTCTCAGCTTCTCATCATAAGGCCTATTCTCTTGCCCTCTGATCATGCGTGTGGCTCACATCTGGACTCTCTCAAGCTTCTTCACCTCCTTCTTGAATTGTGGAGCCCAGAATTGGGTGCAGTACTCCAGCTGTGGCCTCACCAAAGCCAAGTACAATGGGAGGATGACATCCTGAGATTTACTTGAGAAGCATCTATGGACGCAAGCCAGAATTTTGTTTGCTTTACCAGCTGCGACATGCATTGGTGGCATGTCATGTTCATCTTGTGGTCAATTATGATCCCCAAGTCTCTTTCAGCCGTGGTGCTAGCAAGCGTAGCACTGTTGAGCCTATAAACGCGCTGCGGGTCCCCCTCCTCCCCCCGAGGTGGAGTACTTTGCATTTTTCTGTATTGAAGGGCATCAGGTTTATATCCACCCAGTTTCTAAGCCTATCCAGGTCAGCCTGGATCACCAACCTATCCTCAGGTGTGGACACTCTACCCCAAAGTTTAGTGTCATGGGCAAAATTGGCCAGTCCACTTCTGTCACTGGTGTCTACATCGTTAATAGACATTAAAAAGAACAGGTCCAAGGACAGAGCTTTGGGGGACACCACTGGTCACGAAGCGCCATGATGATTCACTTCCGTCAACTACCACTCTCGGGGTCCCACGTCGGAGCCAATTCCCCAGCCATCGGACTGTGATGTATCTGACGCCACAGTTGGCCAATTTTTCCATGACATCACGGAACACCAGATCAAAGGCCTTTTTGAAGTCCAGATAATATGATGTCAATCTCTTCTCCTTTGTCCAGGTGATATGTCACCAGATCAAAGAAGGAGATGAGATTGGTCAGGCAAGACCTACCTGCAACAAACCCCTCAGGATGTTGTCATCAGCCAGCTTGTCAAGAATGGTCTCTTTGATCATTTTTTCTAGAATCTTTCTAGGGATTGAGGTCAAGCTGATTGGCCAGTAGTTCCCTAGACCTACTTTTCTCCCTTTCTTGAAGATGGGCACCACACTGGCTTTCTTCCAATCTTCAGGTACTTCACCTGAGCGTCACGAGTTTTTGAATATCTTTGCCAGTGGCTGGGCTATGACGCCTGCCAGCTCCTTAAGGACTTGGAGGGACAATCTGTCAGGACCAGCTGACTTGAAGGTGTCCAGCCTCTCAAGGTGTTCCTTTACAAGGTCTACCTAATGCTGGATATAAATTTACCGTCACCCTGGCTGTCCCATATCATGCTATGCAGGGCGGTCCCTTTGGGCTGATGAAAAACTGGTGCCAAGTACCCATTAAGCAGGTTGGCTTTTTCCTTGGTGTCGGTTGTCAGTTGTCCCATTTGGTTTAGCAGGGGTCCAATGTTACCCTTGCTTTTCTTCCGACTCCCCACATATCTGAGAAAGGACTTTTTATTGTCCTTGATACGTGTAGCCGCTTGAAGTTCGGTTGCAGCCTTGGCTTTCCTGGTTCGCCCCCTACAGGTGCGGACCAGCGCAAAATACTCCTCGTTTGTGGCGATTCCTGTCTTCCATCCTTTATACACCTCTCTTTTTTGGTGTACGAGGTCTATGAGTTCTCTACTGAGCCAAGGGGGTTGCTGTGTCCTTTTGACACCTTCAGACATGTGTTCACAAACTGAGAGGCCCCTTGCCAAATGAGGTGTCCCTAACAGGCATATACCTTATCAATTTATTGGGACAGACCCTTGGCTTTGGCCTAGTGAGACCAACTGACCCCAGTGGGCTTGGTCCACTGATTTACAGTGAGGTCAGGTATTTTCCTATCCCAGCAGTGCGACACCAGGGCTCTTCACTTGTCTGAGGAATAATTCCATGCTGCTGGCTGAAAGCGTGCATGGCCAAGTAAAGATGCAGCTGACAACAGTACAGTAGGGTGTCAGGTCCCTGGGACCTCTGCACTCCAGGGCGGGGGCGATAGCTCTGATCACAGGGCAGCGTGCTCCCCCATCAGCCCTGTGTTAGTCTCCAGACAGGGGACGCAGCCCAGCTCTGTGACTTCCCCCCTCCACAAAAACAAACCAGCTTTGTCTGGGCATGGCAGTAGCTGGCTGCAGGCCTGCAGGGCTTGTAACCTTCTTTTTGAGCCAGGATGAATGAGGGTCACCAGTTACCAGGTAACTGCAGGGACACTGCTCTGGCTCTGCTAGGGTTACCTAGCAACCCTGCCCTCATCACCTAACAACTACATTTGATATTCGTGGCCTGTTGCCATGGGAATAAGAGATCAGCAAACAGAATGACTAGAGCCCAAGTCAGGCCTGAGACAAGGGTCACACAATGCAAAGAAGGCTGAGAAAATAAGTATCACTTCAGTGTAGGTATTTATGACCATTTATTATTATTTATATTGCAGTGTGCGCACTCAAATCTGTGGCTGGCTCTACACATGTGTATGCACCAGAGAAATATTTATAATCTATTCTAAAGTGCTCTTTCTTTGCCTTTGCCTTTGCCTTCTATTTAGCCTCACTTTCAGTTGGTATCACTCAAAGGGAAGGAAACTAAAAAAATAGAGCCAGTAAAATTTTCCCATCTTGAGATGGAGGTGTCTCTATTAAACTGCAGCAATGTTTTCTCCTGGGAGCCAAAGCTACTCCACACAGCTCCAGTGGAACAGTGCAAGGAAACATCCAGTGGGCTCCATGCCAAGTGTTCACTGTTAGCCTGGGGCTGAAGAGCAAGCCTGAAAACAGTTGTGAGATAGGACTAAAATGCAGATTTGGAGCTGAACACTTCTGAATTCAGAGGAATTAGGAGCTTGGGGTTTTGTCTCAGTCCTATTTTGGAACCAGGGGTTATCCATGAAATAATTCAGATGTGAAAGAGAACTTTATGTTTGGGGATGAGCACATTTAGTGCTTTGCTTCTGGTCCATCACTAGTTTATGGCAAATTAAGGTGCTTGAGAATGGAATCAGCCCAAGAAAGAAGATGATTATTGAATAAAAGTTGCACATTTTAGTGCTTCACTGTGCCTTTGTGTTCTGGGTTATTTTCACCATTAACTTTACTGATCTACAAGAGACTGAGGTTTTGCACTGACTTTAACAAAGTTCTTCTCTAGCTCTCCACATTAAATCAACTCTGCTCTTCTTCCTGGAGGGCTTGCTTATTAGATTTCCAAGCTCCCATCAGTCTGCATTTCTTCTTCTTTCTTGCTTTGGAAAGTAGAAGTACTCTGCACCCTCACCCTCCCCCCACTCCTCCCCTTCCCTTTCTCTGGAAGCATGTACCCTCTGCAGGCCCTGAGGAAGATTATAATCCTAATGCAATGTGTGGGTGCAGGTGGGAAAGTGTGCAAGATCAGAATTTTTACCCTGTGAGGTTACAAACTAGACCCAGTCTGACTGCTACTGCTGCAAGAGTCTTATAGTTGACATCAGGGACAGCTGGCTCAGGCCCTAACAAGATACAGAGTAGATCCATACCTTACAGAACAAGGCCAGATGTGTGTAATGGACTGTGCAGCTTGTAGGAGTCACAAGGTTTAGATCTTTGGGAGCGCCTGGTTCACGTGAGATTGAAAACTGTTCCCAGGATAAAGGGCAACACTGACTGAGCTACTGAGGGAGGCAAAGAACCAGGGGAGCACCTAGAAGGAATCATGGGCACAAACAAATGTTAAAGGCCAGGTTTTGATACAGCAGCCTTGGAGTCGGGGTGGCTTTGGCCTCGCTTCCAGAAGTGTCATGCCTTCACCATTCCCGCAGACTTCCCTTAGAGTGATATGCCTAAATATTAACCCCTTGGCACCTCAGGTCATCACTGAAAAACCGAGGAACATAGAAGCATATACTGGCACTCCTGTGCTCAGAGGGCATATACAGCCCCCCCAGGATGCCAGCGGGAGCTGGGTCTGGGGACAGAACTGGAACCACAGAGTGAGAGTATCCCTGTGGTGCCTCTTAACCACTTGTGCAATGTGCTGCAGGATGCTGTGGGTCTCTCTCAGGCATCTGAAGGCTCAAAAGGGGCCACAAGATTCTAGATATACCCAGTGAGCCAACAGTACTCCTTTTATTGCATGCGATTTGTTAGCGCAGCACAACCAGGGACTCAAACAATGTGGACAGCCTGAGTCCATGATGTTATTATGAGTTATAGTCTGTGCATATTGTCATCAGGAGATGCAGCCTGTCAGTTGCTTACACATAAGCCTTGCCTCTACAGACTTGTTCACTTAACTGTCCTCTCTCTTCAGCAGCAATGTCCCAAATACTTGATTTGGTCCCATGGCCAAAAGATGGCCATAATATCTGTGCCATCCCTGCTGTTCTCCTGCCCGTGGAGCCAAGGACTTCCAGACTGGCTGGAGTAAAGGACAGGCTTTACCACCCAGCCCTGCCAACCTTACGTCAGATGGACATGGACACGGCAATGAACAAACTCCCTGATGAACATTCCCGGACAGCCACTGCATGCACCAAAGGTAATGTCAGCACTGAGTTTTGGAAGGCAGCAGGACAGTCCTGGGGAGAAGAGAACACTGGACTGGGATGCAGAAGACAAGGGCTCTCTTTCCGACTCTGCTAGTGAGCTCCTGTGTGACACCTCCTCTCTGATCATCAGTTGTCCCATCCATAAAATGTATATAACAATCCTTACCCCCTATGCAAGTGCTTTGAGACCCTCAGTCTTACTATTGCTTGTAGCAAATAACACCAATATGACTCCAGCTCTGCCATTCTCCTTTCATCTTCTTTAAATAATCAGCCTAATTTTCAAAGTTTCTGAGATGCTCCAGCCTCCATTGAAGCTGAAGTGAGCAGGGGAAACGCACTTTTGAAATCAGGCTCCTGATAATCTGTCTGCCTTAGACATTCACGGTACATCCACTGGTAATGTTGCGGCTGCAGCTCGCAGGAAATGAGCTATAGGTGCACGTTACAAATCCCTACTTGATAAGAGCATAGAACAGGGACTCGGGGCACTTGAGTGCTGCTGGCCAATCACTCTTCCTCTCTGCCTCAGTTTTCCCCCACACTAAGATGTGGGGGGAAGTGGGCACGCTAGAAGGGAGGAATAGGCTGCAAGTGAACCTAGACAGGTTACAGGGGTGGGCAGATGAGAACAGGTTGAGTTTCAACACTGACAAGTGCAAGGTGCTGCACCTGGGGAGGAAGAACCAGCAGCAGACCTACAGGCTGGGAAACTCCCTTCTCATTAGTGCAGAGGTAGAAAAGGATCTGGGAGTCATTATTGATGCTAAAATGAACATGGGCCAACAGTGTGGGGACGCAGTCAGGAAGGCCAACCATACCTTGTCATGCATCCACAGATGCATCTCAAGCAGGTCCAAGGAGGTGATCCTCCCCCTCTATGCGACACTAGTCAGGCCGAAGTTGGAGTACTGCATCCAGTTCTGGGCACCGCACTTCAGGAGGGATGTGGACAACAGGGAGAGGGTCCAGAGAAAGGCCACTCACATGATCAGGGGACAGCAGGGCAGGCCCTATGAAGAGAGGCTAAGGGACCTGAACCTGTTCAGCCTCCACAAGAGAAGGCTGAAGGGGGATCTAGTGACCGTTTACAAACTAGTCAGAGGGAACCAGCAGGCATTAGGGGAGTCCCTGTTCCCCCGAGCACTACCAGGAGTGACTAGAAATAACAGTCACAAGCTGGCAGAGGGTAGGTTCAGGCTAGACATCAGGAGGCACTACTTCACTGTCAGGGTAGCTAGGATCTGGAACCAACTTCCAAGGGAAGTGGTGCTGGCTTCTACCCTGGGGGTCTTTAAGAGGAGGCTAGATGAACACCTTGCTGGCGTCGTTTGACCCCAGTACTCTTTCCTGCCATGGCAGGGGGTCGGACTTGATGATCTGCTCAGGTCCCTTCCAACCCTACCAACTATGAAACTATGAAAATGGAAGCAATTATTCTGATCCACCTTTGTAAAGGGCTTTGAGATTTGCTTATCATTTGGACAAGCATGGCACAGCCAACAGGTTCCAGTGTCAGTTCTGCCCTACCTCTTCATACACATTAAGTCAGCTGAGGGCTGGTATGCTTTCTGGGCTTCCAGAGTCTCCCTGTACTCTCAGCCAGCAGCTTTTCAGTCATTTTTGGAAGATAGGACCTCATTCCCCTTCTTTGGGGACCAGACATGGCTTGATTCCTTTGGAGGGAACAGCCCCTAACCCCCAGTCACAACATGCAATTCCAATGATCTGAAAAAAAAAAAGATTCATTTGTCTGAGAAAAACATTCAAGTAAATCAGCATGAAGAAGAATAAGACACAACTGGCTGGAGACTCCACAAAGCCTACATAGCTGAGCCCATGTTCTGCAGCAACCACTATTGGTACGAGTCTTTCATCTCAGCCATGGTTGAGATTGCTCTTGCAAAAGGAAGGGTAGATTTGTACCTTATTCACTAACTAAATCAGAGATGCACAAGCTTTGGTAAGCAGCAGCTTACTTCATCAGATTATTTAAATTAGAATATATATATCTCCTCTATTATAGGCTTCCATTGCACCTTTTTTTTTAAAAACCAACTGAAGAAATACACGCACCCATTACAATAACCGCACCTGCTCCCCTGCGCCCACACACACCCACCCCCTGCTCTTCCCTAACCCAAACACAGTCCCTTAGTCAGTCAAGGGCGCGATTTGGGGTTTCCCTTCTCAGTTCATTCACTGTCCTTATCATTGTTGATGTCTCTGCCGTTTCTACTGCTGCTGATCTGAGCTGTGCAAAGCTTTGGTATCTGATTCGATTCAGCAGAGATTCAGCCCAATTCGGTGGCCGAATCTCCGAATCCAAATGGAATCAGAGGACCCTTTAATCTCTCCAAATCAAATCGGAACCCTCCGAATCAATTCGGAAAGATTTGGAGATTCGGACAGACACAGCTTTAAATGTTTTTTTCTACGTACCTCCAGCATGCTCCCCGACAGACCCGGAAGTGAACCGGAAGTACTTCCAGTCTACTTCTGGGTTCACTGCCGAGCACATGGAGGGCCCCTGCACTCCCATGGGATGCTTCATGCGCCCCAGCATCACAGTGATCACAAGCCATGCCTGGTACCTCAAGGTATGTAGAAAAAACTTTTAAAGCTGTGTCTGTGTCCGAATCACTGATTCTCTGAATCAGCATTGAATCTTCAGATTCAGATTCGGCCAAATTGAATCAGGGACAGCAACTGGAATCAATGAATCGAATCGAATCACTGCCCCCGATATGGGCCGAATCCAAATCTGAATCAAATAGCACCCATTTCGCACACTCCTACTGCTGATCCTGTCATTGTCTTCCTCGTTGTCTCCAGGTCCAGTTGTGTCGTTGTCCCCTTTATTCTCCCTGTCCACTTCCCTTCCCAGGGGGACTTTGAACACCCTGTGCCACGCGTCCCTTTTCCAGGTGGAGTTGGCTGCATCCTCTACATCCTCTGCCATCGCTTTCTGGTAGTAGGGCTGGAGTTCACTCAGAAACATTTTAACACAGTCCATTTGCTCAAGCTTAATGTGACTGTACATTAGGAGGTTCCTGCATTGCCACAGGGTGCTCCTGATGCAGGACCCAAACTGGTTTAAGCGGGCTGTCTGGGACCCCTTATGTTTAGTCAGGTGTCCGTACAGCGCCACCTCCCTTGTCATCAGCCTGACTCCTGTCACTTACTCAAGGAGCCAGCTTAGCTTTTTCCACACTCCCTTGGCACAAGGGCAGAGTCAAAAGAGGTGGTCAATGTTCTCGCTCTCATCTTGGCAGTTTGCTGTGGGGCAGCTGGATCTAGACTCTTATCTCGCTCTGTGCTTCCATGCCTTCACTGGGAGTACACCGTGAGTTATGAGTCAGTTCATGTCTCTGTTGTCTTTTCTTCGGTCTTTGTGGAAGATCTGGTTCCAGACAGCCTGGCAGTCGTCATCAGGGAGCAGCTCCATGGTCGATAGCCTGTCTCTGTCTCTGACTGCCTTTTGTATCTTCCTGTGGTTAGACATGTTCTCTGGGCTTTCCTTCTGTAGCCCATACCTGCTCCAGAACTCCTTCAGCACGCTATAGAACCAACGGTATTCCATGGTGCACGGTCTCCCTCTGGCTGGTACATACACCGCCCGCGCCCCCAC